GGGGAAGGGGCTGCTTCGGGCACCCGCTGTCCTCAGAGCAGGCCCGGGCCGCGTGCAGGAGGCAAAACACCAGCCTCGGATGAAGTCTTGGGCCCGTGCTGGCTCCTCTCACGGCACATGCCCTGACCGTGGCCATCTGCAACACCGACTTTCCTCCTCCCTGCCCTGAGCGGGACCTGTGCCTGCTGACCTGAAGCCCAGGGGCTTCTGGCACTCTTCCCGTCCCCTCCTCTGGATCCTGCCCCAGCTACCCACTGACTCCCCATGCCAGCACCCAGCCCGTCTGGGGGCCCGCGGAAGGGTAGCTGAACACCTCTGAGCTGGTGAGGGGCTGGAGGTGAGGGGCAAGATGGTGCCTTTGTGCCCTCCTGACCCATTACAGCCTCTTGCAGCACCGGTTACTCTGCCAAAGAATCTGGCAGCCCCAGCTGTGCCATTGGGAAGATGCAGCAACTGGGCTGCGGATGAGGTGGGCAGCTGGGCAGAGCTCTCGGAGGAAGCAAGTCTGGGGGCTTTGTGCTCTGGGAGAGGTGGGCCCCAAGGACATGTGGTGCCCAAGCCTGGAGGGGTGGTGTCTGGCAGCAGGGCGGTTGATCCGTGTCTGGAAACACTGGGCCTGGCTGCAGGGAGCCTTCCCCTGTGTATTCAGACATCTGGGGTGGGAGACTGCTGCCAGCTCTAAGGCCAGTGGCTCTCCAAAGGCACGGAGTGCAGAAGATGCTCAGAGGAAATCCATGGGGCAGCTGGAGGTGCTGGCCTCGCAATGAGCCCGTTCCCTGCAGCTTTGAGGAGACTGAGGGTTGAGTTGCTCACAGTTTGTATGTGCTTTGCTTAGGAAGAGGAATTTGAGTTCCTTGATGGAGTAGAGAAATATGTAACAAGATCTAGTGGCTCTATGATGATGTCAGGTGAATTGCCACTTGGAGTAAAGTGCAAAGTCTGAGCGCTGATGGTAACTATCCATGGAATATTTTTGTGTAGATTGAGATGGGTGTTTCTAGAGGTCTCCAGGCACTTCTGAAATTAATTCCAGATGCTTTTCCACTCTGGGACCTCCTCTACCCTGCATTAGGTTGGAGGTCACACTAAATGTGGTAGGACTGATTGCTTCGGACTTCAGTAATGCATTTGCTGCAGTGCCACATGGTGAGTTATTAGTTAAGATGGAGATAAGTACAGGAATTATAAGAGATTATTAGAGGAGTTCCCCAGTGGTTGGTCTCAGGCCCAGTTTTCATTAATGATCTTGGCACGCCAGAATGGATGTGCTAATGAAATTGGCTGCTTCTCCAACGTTGGGAGGCATTGTCAATACAGGGCAGGACTGGGATATCCTATAGGAGGGAGTAGGCAATTTTGATGGCTGAGACAGTAGAAGCAGGATGAAATGCAATAGCATAAAAAGTAAGGTTATGTTGTTAATGGCTGAGAGCAGACTTTTCTGTTATGAGTTGACAGTGGGGACTTACTGCTTGGCAATAACAGTGAAGAAGAAGGCTGTAGGTGTGGTGTTGCTTCCATTGTTGGGCCACTCACTTTCTGCCCTGTGCGTTGCTCTTTCTAGGTTGAGACGAGATGGGGAAGCTCCATGGTCTGACATGCACTGGAAGTATGACTGGTGGCTGTGAGCAGCAGTAGCTAGCAGGTTGCGCATCTTGGACACTCTGGAATCCAGCTGGGCTGAGGGAGAGCCCGACAGGGCTACTGAGTGTGTGAGTATCATAGGAAATATTTCACACTTGGCAACCCTGACTGGGGTTTGACAGCCTGAGTTACCACAGGCAGATGCGTGGGCCTTTTCTGCTGATCAAAGCCCCTTCCATCTTCCAGAGGGGGGAACCTCTTGTTTGAAGCTTTGCAGTTGTTAGGGGACTTTGTCCTGGAACCTGCACAAAAAAACCAGAGTATATGCAGTTGTCTCCCTCCTCCAAAACCTCCCAAGATGGGGTAAATACTTTGAGGCGCATGGAGAAAAATACAGCAGAAAAATCAAACTGGGGTGCACAGAGCTGCCAGCGTGCTGTGAGCCTGGAGCAGGCTGTGGCAGCAGTCTTCAGCGCGAGCTTTGTGTCCCAGTGGAAGCTTCATGTTTTCAATGAATTGGCCCAAGTTGAAATTTGGATTCTGGCTGACCGCCTGACGTGAGGACTGGGTGAGGAAGAAAGCCGCAGTGCTGCGTCACTGGTTGCTACTGGAATTGCCCTGCATCCCATAAATACTATTGCTTCCAGAGAGCTGCTTAACAAATCCTTTGGCTGCGCCAAATAAGGTGTTCATTGTTCTCTCCCACAGTAGTGCTACATGTGGGCTTTGCACCATAGCTGGAGCTTTAGCTACATGTGTGTGCCCTTGCTCCAAAGGTGGTCTAGGACCAGAAGCATGTGGGAGTGCTCAGGCGTGATTGCTTTCCCAGACTCTCCCAGCTTTCTCTTGGGTAGAAGGACCAGACACAAGCTCTATTCATAGGTCCACTTAAGGGCTGATCAACAGCAAAGAGTGCTTAGTCCTATTCTGCGTGGTTGGGCTTGGGTTGGAACCAGGTGGAGAGAGTCCATGGTTAGGTGTGAGAACTTGCCAGAGAAAGGAATGCTTGCGTAGTTTGTACTTGCAGCGTGACTTATAGTGAGGACAAAACTGAACAAGTAAGGAAGGCTGAAAGCTGAGAATACACCTGAAACTATACCCTGGGAAAGAGCACCTGGCACCATGGACCTCAACTGGAGAGGAAGCAAGCTCAGAAGATGCCTTAGACAGCCATAGCAGTACCAGACGCTTTGCCCTGTTAACTGTCTCCTTGGCTGAATGCAGCTGCTCTAGGCCTGGGATCCTGCCTGCAGTATCACCGGTGCGGCAGAGGACAGTTAAGCTGTTTGGAAACGGTGACCCCAATGTTTAAAACAAGCAAAGCAAGGTCCAAATGTGACAGGGTGGGTGACAAACCCCATTCCAATGAACAGAGGAGTCCAGAAGGACCCAAGGCCGGGCAGATTTTAGGTTTCATTCCTTCTGCATGTCTGCTTTTCTCTCTCTCAAGAATCTCTTAAGTTGGAACTCAAAAGTTCCGAGGCATGGCTCAGTTCCACAACTGCTTAAGTGTTTTCTTTTCCACACGTGGACCCCACTGTCCTTCCTTCGGTCTGAGACTCATGTCACTAGGGTGGGCAGCAAGCAGCGCAGCATGTCCTGGGGGGAGCTGGGATCTGCTAGTGGGGTGGTGCCTCAGATGGGGCACAGGAAGGATCATGAAGGGAGCTTGGGAGAGGTCATTTCAAGACAAGGCACCCCATACCGCTCCTACCCTGCCCCTGGTAGCAACACCCCGCCAGCTACCTGTTTGGGGCCACAACTGGCAATGTTCCCCACCCAAGGATTCCCACCCCAGGGGTGCTCTCCTGCTTTAGCAGGTGTTGCTCTGGGTGCTATCATGCTCCTCCTAGGATGCTCCTTTTCCGATCAAGAAAGTCAGCTGTAGGTGTAGACTTAGACATACTGCAGTAGCTACTGCAACTTGGGGGCTGCAGTGCCCTCCATCTCCCAGGGTCTCTGTAGCTGTACTGTTGTGGCAGCTCTTTGGAGGAGTGCTTGGAAAGTGGGAAATGTGAAGCCACGTTTCCATGGCCCTAGTGGTGAAGCTATCATAGGGCTAGGAGAAAACTGCCCTCTACCTGATGAATTCTTGAGCCTGTAATTAAAAGAGGAGAACAAAATATCTGGAAGATCATGATTTCATAGAGCCTAACCAGCCTGGCTTCAAAAAAGGAAAATCACATCTCACTTACTGAATTCCTTGAACATGTCAAGGTTTGTAAAGAGAGATAGTATCTTTTATTAGACCAATTGATACATCTGGAAAAAACAGACAAGCTTTCAGGCACAGAAACATTTCTTGTATGTTTTTTCCAGCCATATCAGTTGGTCTAATAAAAAGTTATTACCCCTGCCC